ACCTCATCTCCTAAACACTAGAATTATAATAACCTCAGATTCCTATTCTGGACAACAATCTCTCACTGCTCTCTGCTAGTGCATCACTGCATGTGGCAGTCATGCTGAGCCAAGAACAGCAGACACTGACTCTGCCTCTGTCCTAAACAAAGCAACGTGATCTGAAGTGTCAAACATTTCTCTAAACTACATGAGGAAATACCATTATGGTTTTAGAAAGGAAGTACATGGCCACTGAAATCACTAGGTATAGTGATATCCACAGACACAAGACTTCATCAGGAGTTACTTCAGTTATTCAAGCATTAACTTACATGCTGGTGTGATGTCTGAAACAGTTTTCTTCACCTGATGTCTCATTTACATAGCCCAATCACAGCATCCACCAACTTCAGCTGTATCCAGGAAGATCAAACACTTGCACAAATCTGGTTACCAGGTTCCTTTTCTGCTCAGAAAACAACTAATGCATAGCTAGTGTTTGCAAAAAATTCAGTTCAAGTCACGAATACACTTCTTACAAGAACTATTTCAGAAGCAAGAAAAAATTCCATTTCCTTAGTCTCTTCAACTGAGACCACTGTTTCCTGACCTGTATCTCAAAACCTGCTCTTTCTGTCATACAAATTATAATGCAGAGGTATTGGTAAAGGAGTGCCATTAGTAACATTTTTACCGTGTTCTTCCTTTATCTCAGTTCTCTCGCCTTCTCATCCCCCATCCCCTTTCCATCTGTTCACCTTTCCCATTCTCTCACTACCCCAAATCGTTACAGATTTAAGGCTGTAACAATTTGTGTTCTTTGGTGCCCTCTACGGGACAGATTTATGCAATCGAAAGTTGCCAGGAAGAAACCCGACTTCTACCTCCCAGAAGAGCAAGAACAAGGCAATCTAAATTAAGTACATTTGGAAGTGGAACTTCTGAATTGCTAATGACTTTAATCCATTCATAGTGCCCATGTTACGGGTCTCTGCAGCTACTGCTTCAGCAGCACCTGCTTTTCTGTAAGAGCTTTCAACTCTTCCTCAATAAAGCAGCAACAAGTTTCCTGAAAAAGGTTTCAATTTTTTTTTTCCAAACCTACAAAAGCCAAGGTCAAAAAGTGTTTAGTCTCATCTTCTACTCAAGGTCACAACACATACATGACAACTGGTTAATGAGATACATATTTGATAGGAAAGGCTTAATTTGAACTTACATTGCAAGGAATGCAATAAAAATCTCACTTTGGAAGGCCAGGAAAAGGACATCAGAGAGGATTTTCAGGTATTGAGACAGATTCTGACAGCAGAACTGTAGTTTAAAAGGTTTGATTTTTTTTTCCTCTCAAGACACAAATTACAGAGTATCCAGCTTCCAAATACACAAATATACCCTATCTCAACAGGTTCTTCATCCAGAGAACTTGGAACACTTTTTAGACACAATATAAATACTCATGAACAAAACCCATACTATCTTGTATGTACTAACTGCCCAAGGGGACACTCTTTTTCCTAATTAAAGGTGAGCTATGTCAAGACACCTGTAGTCTAGCTTTTGAGTAACATAAGAATCTCACCATCATGGCTAGGTTTCGCAAATGAAGAATTGGGAAGGGCTCTACCCACGCTTGTTACAAGCACGCTGGTGGCTAAAAAGGCCAATACGAGATAGACAAGTCTGGTTGCAAAAGGCACAGCAGAAAGACTCCTCAGGTGGAATATTCAGCAAGACACGATTCCTTCTGCGTTGTCTTTTCTCCTCAAGGGTGATCCTGCATGCATACTCAAAAGAAGCAGCAGCGTTATAGATAGCGTGTCTCCAGACCTCCTGACTGGAGGCCAGAGTAGACCAGTTATGGTGATCAATATGGCCAAGGCTGAGATGTTGTTTCAGGGAGTCCTTGTTTCTTCTCTTCGGGGCTCCTCTCTTGCAGCAGCCAGTGGCAAGTTCACCATAAAGCAAGATCTTAGGGAGGCGGTGGTCCTTCATCCTTGAGACGTGTCCTGCCCAGCGCAGCTGTGTTCTCAGTAACATGGCCTCAATACTTGTAACTGCTGCCTGTTCTAGAACAGACGTGTTAGTCACATAATCTGACCAGTGGATGTTTAGGATTGTACGGAGGCAGTGTTGATGGAAGCGTTCTAAGAGTCGCAGGTGGTGGCAGTAGATGACCCATGATTCGGACTCATATAAGAGAGTAGACAGCACAATGGCTCTGTAAACACTGATCTTTGTACTTTAAGTGTTTATTTTGTCAAACTCTTTTATGAAGCTTTCCGAAGTCACTCTATGCCTTTGCTAACCTGTTGTCTCTCTCCGTCAATCTTACCATCCGAGACGAGGCTACCTAGGTAATTAAACTGCTGGACCGATCTGAGCTCTGATTCGCCAATGGTGATATGGGGATGATGGAAGACTTCCTGAGGTGCAGTCTGATAGAAAACTTCTGTCTTCTTTAAGCTGACTTCCAGCCCAAAGAGCTCAGCAGCGTCTGCAAAGCAGGATGTTAAACGCTGCAGGGCTGCTTCTGTGTGGGTGACGAGGGCGGCGGCATCAGCATAAAGCAGCTCCTGGACAAGATGATTTAAGGTCGTAGTATGGGCCTTCCCGTCCAGAACAAGTGGTGGATCAATCTAGCTGAAAAAACTCAATTATGTGCAGATACAGGTGATTCCAGAGGATTCTATGAGGCCTTGAAAAGAGCATACGGGCCTACATACCAGGTCCAAAGCCCTCTACTCAGCACTGATGGTCAAACATTTCTGACAAATAAAACCTCCATTCTGAATCGATGGTCTGAACACTTTCAGACTCTTTTCAGTACCAGCCGTGTAGTTCAAGACTCAGCAATTCAGTCCATCACACAACAACCAGTGAAGAATGAATTCGATACTGCCCCCACTTTAGGAGAAACTCTTAAGGCCATACAGTAGGTGAAAATTGGCAGGGCGGCTGGGGTTGATAGAATTCCACCTGAAGTCTGGAAGCATGGGGGCCAAGCACTCCATGCTAAATTTCATGAGTTTGTGATGCGCTGTAGGGAACTCGGCGAACTACCATCAGACCTGCGTAATGCAGTCATCATCACTTTGTATAAGAAGAAAGGAGTTAAATCAGACTGTTCAAATTACCGTGGTATTACTCTGCTCTCCATTGTTGGCAGAATAAGAATCTACACGGATGATTAATGCTCAGTAACCTGCCATACCTTATTCCTCACACACTTCTCTAAATACAGGAGCATACAAAGAATCACAGAATCACAGAATTGTTTGGGTTGGATAAGATCACCAAGACATCAAATCCAACCTGTGACCGATCACACCTTGTCAACTAGACCACAGCACTAAGTGCCATGTCTGATTGCTTCTTGAACACTCCAGCGATGGTAACCCCAACACCTCTGTGGGCAGTCCATTTCAATGCTTAACAATCCTTTCCATGAAAAAATTCTTCCTGTTGTCCAACCTGAACCTCCCTTGGTGAACCTTGAGGCTATGTCCACTCATCCCGTCATTAATTGCCTGTGAGAAGAAGCCAACCCCCACCTCACTACAACCTCATTTCAGGTAGTTGTACAGAATAATAAGATTCACCCTCAGCCTCCTTTTCTCCAGACTAAACACCTCCATCTCCCTCAGTTGCTCATCAGACTTGTCCTCCAGACCCTTCACCAGCTCCATCGCCCTTCCCTGGACAAGCTCCAGCACTTCAGTGTCTTTCCTGAAGTGAGAGGCCCAGTACTCAAGTACAAGGCCTCACCAGTGCTTGTACAGACACAGGCCCAGATTCATCCTCATTAGCTTTATGGCAAGTGACTAACCATAATCTCATAAACAGGAAACACAGCAAAGCATATTGGTAGAGTCCAGGCATCTTAAAAAGCCCGTGGAGGAGCAAGCATCACAAGCTCAACGTGCCTGTGTTTGAGCATTCAACCTTCCTTCCTTCCATGGACCACCTGCTCAGACACACAAACTTCTGCCTGCAACTGCTGGGTATGCAAAGGGGAATGACCAACACACACAAGGGACCCTGTCAACAGAATAATCTCCACCTATGAGAAAGAGCTTAGAAGGACCGGAAAACAAGAGACAAAACACATGAATGAAAGCAGGAGCAGCTCTCATGAAAGTGATAGGCATGGGTTTGTTTCCTTTTGTCAGTGATGGATGGTTGAGGGGAAGAAAAGGGATAGCTGGGTTTTATTGAAAGGTTTGGGATTGCTGGGGAAGTGTATAGGTATTTGTAGTTGTGGTGACTCATTTGCAATTTTTAGTTGATTTAACCAACTTCAGGGATAAAACTTGAAGTAAACTATGTGACCAATTGCAAAGCGTTCACAGAAAAGCAACAACAGTTACTAGATTCTATCATGTCTACCCTCTATTAGATATTACATAGAGAGGAGACAGGATAATAATATTCAAAAATATAAACAGTATCCACAAATCGAAAAGAATAAATTACTTAGAGCTAGAACATGAAATAAAGGACTTGCAACATTGATAAGAAATTTTAAGCTTCTACAAAGAAGCAGCTGTCTAACAGATAAGAAAGCATTGGAACTGACTACTGAGGAGGCAGCGGAAATTTCAATGTCAGGCATTTTTAGGAACAAAAAATCAGGATTGGTTTAGATACAGTGGATTCTACAAAGGGAAGTGACTAAACAGGAACAAAACAAATATTCCAGTGACAGGAAAAGGGTAAAATATGCCCAGGAAGTTGGGGGTAAAAAAAGGCTGTCAGCAGAAGGCCTAGGGGAAAAAAAAAAACTGAGGGAGAACTGGCTCCTCTCATCCAGTTTCATCCTTATTTTCTATCATGTCCGCAATTAAGTTTTAAATTCAACAAACAAGTCAGAAGGCAATAAACACTTTCACAAGGTCTGAATTCTGTTCATTTTGGACATTGCTTCTATTTACCAAAAGCTTTATAGGGACAGGAAATAAAAGCGAGGAAATATTAATCTAAACCCATAACTGCTTCCATATGGCAACATTACTCACTTGTTTCACATTTTCTGCCAAGAACACAACATAAACACCACAAAATCCCAGCTGTGTTATCACTAAGAAAAAGTCCACAATACACCTGAGGAAGAAAAAACAAACATACGTTATACTTAAGATCCAAATAATTAACCCATTGTTACCTAACATGCAATTACTGCTCCTTTTTACAGTAATCAAAATGCAACACTCAAATGCCACATTAATTTCACAAGTACTGCAATACATGCTCCTCTTATGGCAAAACAGGGTGGGTTTTGTGCGTGTGGTTTTTAAGGTAAAACTAAGTAGGCATCACAGTTTCTCAAAAAAAAAAAAGGTACTCAACATATTTTAAAGTGGTATAAAATGAAATTCAAGGACTTAATGTGGTACAAATGTTAACAAGAGACATACATATTTGATGCACCCTTTAGCCCCCAACACAGCAGTTTTCCACCAGGTCCAGAGATGAAATGTCTCATATGCAGTCTAAGACATAAAAGTTGCATCAACTCAAGATAACACTTTCACATCTTACCAGGCAGGTCTATGTCAATGTATCCAAATACACATTCAGACACTGTATATTACTGAAAAAACACTAAACTATGGTTCAGATTGTTTTTGAAAAAAAGTAATACACAGTGGTGGCCTGAAGACATGCTGTAATGAAGCTCTGCTAGAGTTAAGGATACAGCAGAGATCTGCCCCAGAGAATGGATTTGCTGCAGTACAGTGTCTCTGGAGATCCAATTGCCATTTATGGCTTGTAACTCTTAGGTGCAATAGAGAATTGTCATTATATATCAGTACGAATCAATTTTCCTCTAATTGAGCTCTTCTCCATTCCTACAAAGTCATCACAAAAGATCTTAAAAGAACTAGCTCACCTTTTGCTTACTTGAAACAAAGTAATAGCCAAAACCCCTGATGCAAGATGCTGCATCTTTAAAAATAACAGGAACAAAAAAAATTCTTCCACAAGTGAGGTAAAAACCACTTTAAATTAATGTTGAGCAATATGTTTGTTCCACTATTCACAATTTCACTACTGTGCAGTCATACTACAAACTCCACAAACAGCTCTACAGCAACAAATGGCAAAGAAAAATATAACAGTCTTTTTTAAAAGAGGGATAAAGTATTTAACAGAGACAACAAGCTATTAACATCTTCATGTCATTATTGCAAAAACAGTACCTATTTTATCCATTATTTGTATGTTATATTTAAACAGGAAGCAAAGCAATTCTTTGCTTCCTTTCTGACTAAATCCATTAAAGTAATTAACATCTACAGTGTCAACCTGCTTAAAGAGTGAACTCTGATGCAGGGAATGCCAGTAAAAGAATGAAAACTTCACTACATTAGACAATACAGAATGCATTTCTGGTTATAACACATCTCTTCCTATATTACTAAACAGAATTCTTTTTCTTCACAGCTCTTGTAGACCTGAAAATTGAAATGCCTAAGAGAGACAGACATCCTCCCATGTCACCACTACTTGCTGGTAGCAGGAAATAACAAATGACACTGCAAAAAATCACTGTTAAGGAAGGCAACATCTTAGTAAAAAGAAATTCTCCTATCATTCCAAGTCAAACCATTAATTTTTAATAATGAATTTATTCAATTAAATTCTAATTCAAACTTACCTGCCCCAAGAAGCTCGTTTCTGAAGAGCAGCAAGGGGCCCCAATTCCATGGCATAACTAACTGTATCACTATACCCCAGTGAGGACTTTTTCATCCTGAAATCAAAAAATTAAGAAAGAATGGAGTTATTAAAAATATGCCCTACCTTGAAAATGCTGTTGGTTTCCCACGATTATAACAAGTTATCACCTGTGGCAACATTCCACTGCTGCTGAATTTCAGAGGTATGGCTCTGGCTTCTTACTCCAGGAAGGGCTATTATTTAGCACTCAACAAGCACGTTAAACACAATATTGCTTCCCCCACTTCAACAGTACTAAGTAAGTTCCTTACAGAACAAAGTTTTTTTATAAATTAATCCAAAATCAGATACTTATAATATGAGCTTAAGAAACTGATCTCAAATCTAAAAGTCAGAAAGAATTTGAACAGGTTTCAAAAACTCTTCCTGCACAAGCAGTCACAACTGATTGAATGATCTTATTTCAGTGATCATCTTCAAAGATCATTCAAAACCACAGCGGAAGAAGTGAAGAATTCAGGAATGACAGGGTCCATTCACAGTACAATGTCATATTAATCTGGTAAGAGATTTTCCAGCTACAGGGGCATGAATAGTTTTGCAATTCTATTCAGTTTAAAACTTTTACTGCACTTTTTAAACATGAGACCCTCTCACTGCTTTTCTTTTAACACCTGACAGTAAGATAAAAATGTTTAACAAAAGTCACTATTAAACAAAATACTCTGTCAGTCTGAATAGCTCTACCAATCCGAAAAACTGCTTCCCCCCAATATTGTACAACTCACTTGGAGGAGTATTTAGTGTTTATCTGCTCACTAGCTCATTTTAACTCACTCCTTCAGCACTACAAGTTCAAAGAATCGAGTTGTCACAATTCAAAGAGACAGAACTCACATATAATCATGGAAGACATTGACAGATTTCTTAGTTTATCTTTTATTCCTATGGAGTACTTATAAAGTGGCTATTTATAAATTATACACTTTCCAAAGCTATGAAGATTCAGAAGCTATGAAGAAATCTACGAATATAAAGAAGGACTAATGGACTGAAAATAAGCAATTAAAACTGCAATGAGAAAGATCCTACTATTTCCTAGCAGGGAGCAGAGTACTGGGCAACACATTAAACTAATTTCATTTTGAATATGAACAGAGAACAATTTTTTTTTTTCCAGTGAGTTGCACAGAGCATACCTATCATTTATAGGTACACGCTACAAATTTGAGTGTTGCTTCCAACAATTGGAAGATTCTAAACTGACAGAAGGAACTGCTATAGCATCAGGACATTCTCTAGGCCAAAAATCACAAACAGAACAGACAAATTAAGGAAAAAAATACTGAAACTCAGCAACTGAACGAGTAGTTCCACATTTACCTCTGACACAGAGAGTGGCTGCAACGTACCAAGATGTGCATACAGTGAACCGATATAACTCCTATGAACACAAGGCTGATTGGTCCAACATGGTATGGAAAAAAAAAGGAGGGAGGACACAGGAAATATACAGAATTTCTCATGAAAATATTCTGGGGAAAAATCTCTAAATGAAAAAAATTCACATTGTAGCAAAAAAAAAAAATTTTGTGCAACTGTATTTTTCCCTCTCTCAGAGGGGGGGAGTTACTGCTGACATTCCATGGCATTCCTTACTTTACATTCACTACTTGAGAGATGGCTATAAGTACAAAATAGGCACAAACAACTGCACTCCTCTAACTGCTTCATTTGCCCAAAAAAGTTTGTCAAGAGAGAAGACTGCACATAGTGTCCAATTCAAAGCAGTGGTTTGAACTGGTTTGAAGTGGTAATGACAGCAAAAGTTACAAACTACAGATAATTATCAAATTAAATAATTTGTTTCAGAGTGGAATTTCAACCAGAAATTTTCACAGAAGGAATCTGCTTTTCACATGTAACTCTCACTCTTAAACCTGAACATCCTGTACTATAGAATTACAGGATTATTTAGTTGTAAGGTGAAAATTTCACTTGAGCAAATTTACCCTGCCCTAGGAAATGCATTGTTTATTACCTGGTATAAACAACCTGTGCTATAGCCTGTTTCTGCAGAAACACTACATTGATTTAACAAGCTGATGACGCATTCCAGGACACACAATCTGCCTCTAGAGAAGTGTGTACAAAGACAACCACATAGTAACAATTCCCATGAGACACCATAGGACCACAGGAGTCTGAGTAAATCAAAATATTTATTTATTTTTACAAAGTTTGTGTTTTGACCAGAAAAACACTTCGGCTACACAAAAATGCAACTCATGCAATGAAGTCCTCAGGGTGAAGTAGTAACTTTTTTAAAAAAAATAAAAATCTTAATCTTCAGTACTAATTTCACCAGACTAAAGAGGAAAATCAACACAACTCTATTAAGATTGCAGTAACAAATAAGTATAGGGATTTTAGTTTTTCAGGACATATATCTGTAAATCAGTCTAGATATTTCTCCTAGTGTATGAAAAAAGAATTGAATTCTTACCACAATACCAGCATTTTTTATTGCAAGTGGAAGACCAAGAAGCCCAGTTCCAATGTTTCCCTTGAGGAGGTGAGTAAGTGTTTGTATAAACCTGAGGATAAAACATCACATTAGAAGTACACTGAGATGGGGGAGGGGGCAAAAGTAAAACCACATCCTCTGTCATTTAATAATAAAGTGATAAATTTTGAGCTTCAACTCATGGTGGTGGTCTAGTTATTTTAAAGTATGTGCAGCACATTCAAATAACATTCTTATTCATCATTATATGTGAGCACTCTCAAATAGAACATACAAGTCTGATCTTCAGTTCTTTACTCCAGCTTGTGAAATGTTATTTTCTGTCCAATTCTATTATTCATTTGCCTCAGAGTCAAAATTACCAAGTTTTATCACTGTTTTATCACTATTTTAGAATCAATAACATTCAAAAACAAAATTACCAGCTGCAAATCACAAGTCTGACAGCCAAAGCTTTATACAAATTAAAAAAGAAAACCAAAACCCAAAGCTTTGCCATCTCTTCTAATTAAACTTTCACAAACAGATTATCTCCAGAATCTTCTCAAAATCTTCTTTAAACAGCACTTGGATTTTGAGTAATCCAGTCACTTTGCAAATAGGCACCTTGGAATATTTTACAGCCACATTCTTAGCTTCCAAAGAACAAAAAACCTATTCAAAATGGGCTGCTTTTTGGCAGAACTATGTAAAGTCCTGATGTACAACCACAAAACCGTCCTGCAGGTGCAAGAAAACCCCTACACAGTTCAGTAAACTGCTCATAAGAAATGAGGCAGAGGCAACAAATTTAAACAAGCTGATACTCAAGCATAACACATACGTAATGCCTTCTTCATTACCAAGCTGGTAATGTGTTTTAACTGGCAGGAAATTATTTTCATGCTCTTCTTCTGAGATGCCATCTGAGTCTTCTTCATCAATTAAAGGCTTCATTACTTCCATGCCTGTACAACAGAGTTAACACTACATTAGCATTAGAAACAAACTTAGAGTTCAGACGTAAAACTTCTCATGCCAGGAGGTTTACATGTGTTCCTAACCATAATGCTGATTTAAGCAGATACATACAGGACAAGTTTGCACAGGATATGCTCTCTCTTTAAAGTGGTACACCATCTCATTATTATCATTATTATTATGGCCAAACACCACAGGTTTTCATTAAGAAAACCAACTTTTTATCATGAAAATGTCAATGGTTTAGATCCTTTTGCAAGCTAATACAACAAAAAGCAAAACCGAAAAGTCACCTATTGTTACAAAAGATAGAGATTTATCTTACCTACTGTTAGCTATTGCAAAACTAAGCATTTAGTCTATGCTTATCAGTGGTAAGCAACAGCACACCCCAGAGTCATCCCATCCTAAAATGAATAGGTAAGACAGGTACCACAGAAGATATCTCCATTCAATGGAGAAAGAACCAAAATAAAGGATTCAGGCTCCATGCTTTGAAAGATGCAATTTCATGAACCTTTTAAACTCACATAAATTTCGAGCTAAGTAACACCACCTAGCAAGAGCAAGCAGTCAGCAGTGAACAAAATCGCCTTTCAGGCAAAACTAACAGCTTATGCCAGTTTAATGTTGAGTAAATTATAACCATTTTTAAATTACTACAGTTAAGTAAAGCAAATCCTGCCAAGAGCAAAAAGATAATTTACCCTACACTTGCCTACCAGAGTACCCATTCATAAAGTACGTTAAGTCTCGACTTTCATAACTTCCACCAAAAAAAGAGAGAAATCCCTGTGACTAAAACATTACTGAATATTTCTACTAAAAGCATTATCAGGCATTGGAACGGGCTGTCCAAGAAAGTGGTGGAGTCACCATCCCTGAAGGTATTTAAAAGATGTGGATGCGGCACTTAGGGATATGGTTTAGTAGTAACATGGTAGTGCTAGGGTAAGAGATGGACTCAATGATCTCAGAGGTCTTTTCCAACCTTAATGAATTCTAAGTATGCAAGAGCACAGTGAATTACCACATAGCTTACAGAACTCTGAAAACACTGAAGAATACCATGAAATTCATTAGCTACATTAAAATATACATTAAAACATTAGCTACATTAAAAGACTATTCAGCAAGAAAAAAAAATATTTCATAAATTAAATGAACACTGAATACCTTAACTATTTTAAGTTTATTTATGATGTAAGAAAAACACGGATTCTAACAGAATACCTGTGAAATCTGCAACACCTGTGAGCCTGCAGATACATTTAAGAGAAGGTACAGGCAACTGACATCTTTAAAGTACATAAAAGCATATGAACATGACAAATAAAAGTTTTATTTTGGGGAGTCATTATGGTCAATCTGATAAAAATTAACACTTAATTAATTAAAACAAGATATGCACAGGTAGGAAATACAGAATGCACTGAAAAGTAGCCATTGTACTGGGTTTGTGTAGCAAGGTTTTGGTAGCAAGGGGCTGCAGTGGTGGCTTCTATGAGAAGCTGCTGGATGTCAATAGAGCCAATGCCAGCTGGCTCCAAGATGGACCCACCATGGCCAAGGCTGAGCATAAAAGTGACAGTGGTAGCACCTCTGGAATAACACTTAAGAAGGGGAAAACACTGCTGAGCAATAACAGCTGGAGAGAGGAGCGAAAATATGTGAGAGAAGCAGCCCTGCAGACCCCAAGGTCAGTGAAGAAGGAGGGGGAGGAGGTGTTCCAGACACTGGAGCAGAGACTCCCCTGCAGCCCGTGGTGCAGACCATAGTGAGGCAGCTGTGCCCCTGCAGCCCAGGGAGGTCAATGGGGATGCAGAGATCCACCTGCAGCCCCTGCAGGACCCAACAGTGGAGGAGGCTGTGACCTCAGGGGAAGCCTGTGCTGGAGCAGGCTCCTGGCAGGACCTGTGGCCTTTTGGAAAGAGGAGCCCACGCTGGAGTAGGTTTGCTGGTAGAACTTGTGGATCCCATGGGGGATCCACACTGGAGACGTTTGCGGAAGACTGTCTCCCATGGGAAGGGACCCCCATTGGAGCAGAAGACTGTGAGGAGTCCTCCCCCTGAGAAGAAAGGAGCAGGAGAGATAACGTGATGAACTGATCACAGCCCCCATTCCCTATCTCCCTGCACTGCTGGATGGAAGGAAGTAGAGAAATTGTGAGTAAAGTTGAACCTCGGAAAAAGGGAGGGATGGGAAAAACGGGTTTTTTTAGATTTATTCTTATTTTTCATTACCCTATCTGATTTGACTGATAAGAAATTCAATTAATTTCCCCAAGTCAAATCTGTTTTGCCCATGATCGTAATTAGTGAGTGATCTCTCCTGTCCTTATCTCAATCCATGAGCCTTTTGTTATATTTTCTCTCCTCAGTCCTGCTGAGGAGAAGAATGATAGAGTGGCTTCTCTGGGCACCCAGCATCCACCCAGGGCCAACCCACCACAGCCATTCAACAAATCATTAAAGTTTTTATGAAACCTTAAAGATGTCTAACCCACCAGCAGGGCACTGAAGCCAATGCTAAGTAAGAAGAATCTCTAAAGAAAAACTGTAAAACAAGTGTAAAAATCCTACAAAGCAGAAGGTAGCTTATTCAAGTCATTAAAATTAAAAGCAGAGCTCAAACTCTCCTGAAAAAACTGAAGGGTCATCCGAATTTCATGTCAGTAAAGTTGAAAGCCAGTAATGAAAGCACTTGACAGAAGCAAAGATGACTAGTCAAGAGCAAAAATCAGAGGTCAGAGACTCAACCAGTAAGTACACTGCAGAGCAAATTTATACTCAGTGATATTCTAATTATAGAAGTCAAGACAGACTTAAACATGTTTCACTACATGGCATATAGTCTACAAACTGATCAACAGAAGGATCAGCAAAGTTCCTTCCCTCTGCTCCCACAGCATTGCGCTGACTAGTTCTTGAGGATGCCACGACCATCCTCTCTCAGCTCCGAGCCCCTACTGGGTTCATTTGATGCTCACAAAGACCTGCACATTCTACTTCTGGAGTAAAAGTTTGTCGCCTCAGGGGTCAGAGGGAGCTGAAAGTTTCACCCAGTGGGCAATTGATTAGGCTCATTTTCATTCTTTAAAATATTGATTCTAAACTTAGAATCTGAAGTGTTTTCATTCGGAGCAAGCCAAACTACAAGCGTGCAAAGTCTCTGATCACATGAGATTCAACTACATATAAAAGGAATAATAATAAAAATATTTTCCAGTTTTGTCTCCATCATATTTTGTAGGATGCTCTTTGTAATGCTAAACAACAATGACAATATGCAGCAACTAAGGTTCCTATTTAGCAGTGTGAGGGAACCAGCACAACCCTTAGAACTGATAGCTCTGGTGACTATCAGCAACTGCTCAGTCAAGAGAGAAAAGTAAAATTTTCTTCTTCCATTACAGCCTGAGACTGGAACATTTGATATATACATACATCTACATTGTTTACCACACAACCGGATGACACTCAGAAGACTGAATTTTTCAGACACCCCATTTTACTTTTCTCCCAACTTCCTGACCCATCTTCTGATCACAAAGGTAGTCCTTTAAGAATGGATTTAGACATACTCAAGCATTCCCCTCATCTTTTAAATAGTAAGAATTTTTCTAAGACAAGCTATTTTTCTTCTGAAAAGTCATCTGCCCATGTTTAAAGCTGTCTATCAGAGCTGGAATACTGATGACAATAACCCTCAGATGACTAATCACCTAACTTACTGTCAACTATTCACCCATGTTCTCAGAAATTGCTTAAACTAGACCTCAGAATATCTGTTTCCAACTTGTACACTAAGGTTGGCAATTTGCTGATCCTGTTCTAATGTAATAACACATTTGAGAATAAATTCTATTAGAAGTTTTCAAACACAGGCAACAGCAATCTGCATCAACTCACATTGTGATAACTATACTTACTACAGGTTCCCCTGAAATACTGCATTATATAAAATATTCCAATAATGCTATCTAGTCTCTATTCTAGCCATAGAAATGCTTTTGAATTGCCTCTTCTCCTTGTCATTCCTCCTTCATCCTATGACTGGTGTATAGTTTTGGCCTAAAATATGTGAATCCGTTAAAAGTAAAGGTCCTGGGACATAATACGAGGTTTGGGTCATGCGACTTTCTAAGAATGGGTTTTTATTTGATGAGATCTCTGCTGCTGGAAGGAATACTGTGGCTGTGTCCCACTGCACAGTCCACACTCACAGTGACATACAGGTTTGTGTAACATCCAGCTTTAATGGATCCAAACTTGTAGTCCAGAGCACACCAAGCAAGAAAGCTTGAGCTCACAAGGTCAGAGAATGGGTGCTTTGCATACTTGCACCTAGCCTGAAATGAATTATTCTGGAAAGTCCACAGTCACTGCCAGGAAATTGGTACAGAATACCCATATTTACTTTGATTCCTTCCTACAAAGGTCCAGTATGTGCAGTTTAAATCAGATCTCAAACTCCAGCTACAAGAACAGCATATACATGTCATACTCGCATCAAAGATGAAGTTGTCTGGCTGCTCTCACAAAGCACCTGGTGCAGAGCATACCTCAGCCAACCTTAGGTCCATGCTCCTCCAAGCTGTTCTGGTGGCATCCAAACACACTATGAATGATCCAATCCAGTGCCCAGCCACTGAAAAGTCTGCATTATCATTACTCAGCACAACTAAGAATGAGGAAATTCACTTCTACACACCCTTTTGTTTTTACTTAGCCTAAGTACCAGCCAATTTTCAGCATTGTCTTTCAATCAGCTAATATGAATTTCTTTTCTCCTTGTACCACCACAAAAATCTTTTCAGATCAAATGCTGTCTTCTGATTGTCTTCAACAGTTATTTAAACATCTGTCATTGTTTCTGCTTTCTTCTTTGAACACCCATGCAAGCAGAGTGCCAAAAAGCTCTGTAAGTACTGCTACTATCAAGCAAGGCAACACAGAGTGCATTTCAACTTCACCCAGAGTTAACCACTGCAATGTTTAAACTGATTCCTTAAACCACTGGAGACATAAATTCACTTATTCATTACAGCTACATCTCACACTATAATCATGCAAAAATATCAACACTGTATCCTCAAAGACCTCTGACAAATTTCAGAGGTCAGCCACCAGTTACACCGTGAAATTAAACCTATAGTGTTTAAATCGCTATGACCAGGATTTCCAGATTTGAATCTTCAAGTGTACTTTTCTATCCCCTAGAATTTGCCAGCATCTTGACAACATTTATGGACATATTACCAAAGAAACTTTTGAACTGTTATTAAATGGACTTAATTCTAAAGCTTTTACAGCACAATAAAGCAATCCTTTGGTTCCAAAATTCTGTAAAGAAACAAATTTTTCACCAAGAACTTTAGTTAATTTTTCTATACAGCTCAAGCAATTAACATTTCTAAATTTAACTGAACCATGCAGCACCACAAGTGATAAAACTGATCATCATTTTCATTTTACAGAAGAAACAGTGACAAAAGGATGAAAGTTTGCCAGGGCTGCACAAGAAGTTAAAGGTTGAGGAGATATTAAAAACAAAGCCAAGCACAATCTTCTATTGTTCCTTTGAAGAAGGTCATGCCCTAGCCAAAGTCATATCTAAAACCCCCTTCACAAATCAAATTTAAAAATATGATCTGTTTTTTGTTAGCTTAGTTGTTTTTCCTTCGGGTTTTTGAAGTCAGTGTCAGCAAACAATAAACTCGATTTGATATATAAGCATAAAAAGATTTGGGGGATAGAATATAGCCCACCATTGTTTACATCAGCTAATTTTACTCATTTACGGGAGAAGGAACCCACAGACCTTGTTGGAGCAACACTTCAGATGTATATTAAGCGCTCAGCAAAAAGCAGTAGGCAAAGGACATCTCATAGATACTTCACTGCACAGTCAGCTTCTACACAAGAACATGCCCACAGGGCCAGAAACACTGTACAAGATTCACAGTCCTGTGAAATCTGTTTATTAAATAGAGGGTGACCCAGGGCCTCCATAACTGGGATAAAGATTCGAGTTAACAAGCAGCTGGTTTGACTGTTGAATAAAAGAGAAAATCAGAACCACGTCATCTTTACACTAGCCTAAAATGTGGTTTTATGCTAATATTTTCCCACAGGCTATAGAAAGCCATACTCATGATCCAGAGGGCATACCCAGAGCTTGTGTCACCAACCAAGGCCAGCTGCTCTTATGGGACAAGGTTAGCACTTGAGTCTGTGAATAGCAACACAGCCAAGGAGACTTCACTACAGTGTAACACAGAAAACACATTTATGTCCGGCAGCAACCACGTCTGTGACAACCGGAGAGGCTCAGTGTTCCCAGCAACTACTGCAGTCCACAAATGACCCATTTATTGTCTCAACGCTGTGGAGCAGTTTTTTAATTCAGCATTCAGAACCAGAGCTCTCAAGACAAATTTAGTTACAAAGAAAACATTGCCCCTAATTATTTTCAGAATAACACTCAGTTACTCCCTCAACCACAGAAAGAAGTACCTGTTTC